TGGGGCGATTTTGGAGGAGTTCTTCACGACTTTGATTTGGATAAGTGTTCTATATCCGAAAGTGATCATACTTCTTGATTCTATAGCTATATTCATCATTTATTGAGAATCAAATGGAAGAAAATGGAGAAATTTGTAAAACTCTTCAAGTACGAAAAATACATATTTGGAGGACGATTTGTTATTGGAATTTGATAAAATTGGTATGGTTGAACTCGTATCGGAATGGGTATTATCAAAAAATTCTTTCGGGTTCCGAGATACGAGCCCCGCATTGACCTTCGGGTTGACTTTCTAAAGTGAAATTTTAAGTCGACGTTTTATTATCCGAAATTATTTTCGATGAATTTTAATGAAGTTATATAATTTATTTGGCTAGATTTGAGTCGTCCGGAGGTCATTTCACGCAAGAAGGACATTTTGGAATATCGGCCTAACTTCGTAAAGGTAAGTATCTTGCCTAACCTTGAGTGAGGGAATTACCCCTTAGGCATTGAGTCGTATATGCCATTTGTGAAATGTGAAAAGCCGTGTACGCGAGGTGACGAGTACGTACTCAGGTTTATATGTGCAAATTTTATTGGTTTAAAGTCTTAGGCATTTTTATATATTAAATTAAAAAATTGTTGGCACTTATTAAATCCTCTATTTTCCATGCCTCAAACATTGTTTGTCGAATTTATTTTTATATGATAATTTGGTGTGATTTCAACTTTGATTTTTATGTGAATCCCGTGTGTTTGTTGAGTTGACATTTCCTGAAAATAATTACTTTATGGATTTTTCATCTGCAAATAATTAATTAAATAATTTTAAAAAGAGGCATTAATATATTTATCTAAAATTTGGATTAAAGAAGGCGTTGTCCCATGCTGAGTTATTTTTCCATCCTTGTTGTTTTTGAGGTTTTATATACATTGTGTTGAGCCGTGAGCTACCTGTTGGGAAATTAATTGATTCCGTTGTACCTTTGGAAAGGTTGTGGCCTACAGGCAATTTGTAAATACGAGTTGATTATGTGGTGTTGTTGTGATAATTTTTTGTGTAAATTATTGTGTGATTTGGGTTAATGTTATGTGGCGTATAAGGGTGATATTCCATTGTTGATATTATGCGGGCATAAGGGTGACATTTCACTGTTGTTATGTGTGTTGGGATATTGTCTAGGTGGAGTGATAAGGGTGGCTATTATAGGAGCGATAAGCTATAGGAGCGATAAGGGTGGCTATTGATATTGACAGGGTGGAGGGATAAAGGTGGCTATTATATGGAGTGATACGGGTGGCTATATGAGAGATAAGGATGGCTATTGTCAGGGATGATATGTGATGATGTGAGGTTATTATATTGGTAATTTTTATGTGATGATGTGGGGTTATTGTGCTGGTGATTTTCATGTGATGTTTGTGATTTTCCTTGTGTTTATTTTTATATCTTGTGTAATTTGTCTTGTTGTTTCGGTAAACTTGGTAATAGTTCGATCCATATTGAAATTGTGAGCCTGTGGCTATTGTCAGGCGGATTATGTTATTGGCACAGGAATTGTTCGTGCAGTTGTGATATGAAGCTTGGGCACGAGGTGCTGGGGTGTGTGTATTGATTATAATATTGGCACGTGAACTGTCTGTGCAGATATGATATGAAATGTGGGTACGAGGTGCCGTGAGTAAATTGTGATTTTATTATTGGTACGTGAGTTGTCTGTGCGGATCTTATATATTGATATTTTGGCACGTGAGTTGTCCGTGCTGTTGTGAAAGAGATATAGGCACGAGGTGTCGTGAAAATATGAAAGTGGGCTGAGACCCGTGTTTCGAAAATATGCAAGTAGGCTGAAACCCTTATTTTATGATTATGAGATGAGGTGTCACATAGTGACTTTTATTTGAAAGATTTATATTCAAAAGAATTTACTTTGAAAGATTTATATTCGAAAGATGTTTATTTGAAAAACTTACATTTGAAAGATTTATATTTGAAGGATTTACATTTGAATGACGTATATTTGAGGGACTTGATTAATTGGTTGTACTTGTGTTCCTTATTTACTTGAGCAATATTTATGGTGTTATTGTGGCCTTGTTGTTCATATCCCTGATTGATTCTTGTTACCATCATTGCTATTTGTTTTCTATTATTATCGTATATTGTTGTATTTCACAGTTTATTTGATTAGTGAGTGTCTTGACTGTACCTCGTCACTACTCCACCGAGGTTAGTCTTGATACTTACTGGGTACCGACTGTGGTATACTCATACTACACTTCTGCATATTTTTGTGCAGAGCCAGGTATTGGAGATATCAGATTCGGACAGAGATTAGAGTGTGATCGCAAGGATTCAAGGAAGGGCTGCTTGGTGTCGCAGTCCCTTGGAGCCTTTCTATTTTATTATACTGTCAACTCTTATTCAAACAGTATTGTATATTCGATCTTCGAGATTATTGCGTGTATTCAGTTAGAGTTTGTGACTCAATATTACCAGTCTTGGGAGGTTGTTATATTTGTTTCCGCTTTTGGTTTCGACACTTGTATTAAATTCCTTTAAAAAAAAGCTTGAATTGTAATTATAATCGGCTTACCTAGTCTTAGAGAGTAAGTATCATCACGACGCCTGTGGTGGGATTTTGGGTCGTGACAGAAATTTCTACAGTTGAACAATTTTTGGCTCAAAAGAGATTGCATAATTGTGCTAAATTTTAGGTGAACAATTATGATGTAAACAAAACAAAATAAAATAAAATAAAAAGATTGAAGAAGGAGGAAGCATTTTGCTTTGTTCTTTATTCCAAATCTGTAATTAACCTATAAATATTGTGAGTAGCCTATGTGAGATTGGTCCACTGACTATTAATTTTATTTTTCGCATACAATTTGCTTAGATATAAATTTAATATAGATTTAAAATATAATTAGAAAAAATAATTACAAAATATTTAATAAGAGCAATAGAAAGAGAGAAAAAAGTGATTGACAAAAGTCATTTAATAACACTACGACAAACATAAAGTGCAAAGATTCGATTTTATCATTTGATAATGGAGTTTTTGTAGATAAAGATATAGTTATAATTAAATATTTAATATATGGTATGAGCTAATATTAATAATTTGAATCCTTAAGAAATATATTATTTCTTTTAGTGATTAAAAAGATAATTAAGTATTTGAATTAACTTTTTTCGGATTTAAATTAATTATCTAGAAAAATAATCCAATTTTATTCCTTTCCATATTCATCAAATAAGTAAAATTAGTTTTCAAGTTTACACAAATCTTAGAGTACATAAATTATTTCTCATAAAAAGACCATCGACGATAAAAGAAATAAGAATATAAAACAAAATCAGTAATACTATTAAGAATTAAATTGGTTAAAATGCAAACTTTAAGAAATAAGGATGAAATAATAGAAGACAAAATGTATTCATAACTACAAAATAATGTACCAACTATTTTAACTAAATTCATCATCTATGCATATTCAGAAGATATTAAATACAATTACTATGTCAGTGTGAGAAAAAATATTTTTATCGTTTGAACAAATATTACATTTTATTTTAACGTCAATGTATATATTCTTAATTGATAGATACTACACACACGTGCAACACACGTATCCTAAAACTAGTATATACAAAATTATAAACCTAATTAGTACTATTAGAGAGATTCTCATTTAAGTGGATACAACTAGTGTTTTACAAGGCATGAGCGTAAGGCGAGACGTTTTACTTATTCCTCAGCAAGGCGTAAGCCCCGAAGGCACCTGGTGTAAGGCGCATGGGTATTTAATTTTTAATATTTTATAAAATAATATAGTTACAATAAATATTTTTAAATAACTAAAATTGCATAACAATTAAATAAAATAATAAATAAGTAAAAACTATATATAGATGTGATCCATTCCCATAAAAAAATAGTCAAAACAATCCATATACGCTACTTACAAATACAAGTAACCTGAGTTGAAAAATATAAAATTTTCTACACGGAGGAACAAAAAAGTTGACTAACCTGCAATTTGAATTTTGAACTTGCTACTATGGAGGAGAATAGAATTTTCTTTGTATCTGTAAAAAATAGTTGACAGTTCATTGCTTTTGGGAGATAGCAGCAGACTAGCAGATAAGATAAATAAATGGGAAAGACCGTAAATTAGGGTTTCTAGCAATAAAAAATGTCTTGACTTTTAGATTTAATATTTCGGTTCCTTTTTAAATATTTTGAGTAACTACAAGTTGACTTTTGAGAATTGGGTATTATATTACCGAATTGCTGGGCATACGCCTCTTGAGACTCCCTCCTCCCTCCCCCTTCCCCCACACACACACCATCGCCTTGGAGCATTTTTGGTCGGCTCGCCCCAGGGCTTGTCTCGAAAATGCCTTTTAGAATACTGGATACAACTTAGCTGAATTCAAAATTCACTATAAGCTAAAATCTAAATTTGAGTATAATTAATAAAATTAATCTTAAATAATTACCTCACGTAATAATTATACTGGCCTCTATATTAATTTTGATTAATAAATTATCATCATCCACAAAAAGGATTTAACTTTGATTTGAGCTTGTCGCATATCTCTCAACCAATCTTTGGCCTTTAACCAAACTTATCTTTTTATAGTATTTTTTCTCTTACTACTAAATTTTATGTCAAACTATCCTTCACATATCAAAGTTCCAAAACAAATTCTCTTTTATATTTCTGTCTATTAACTAATATTATAATATATTTTAAAATATTACCGCTAATAATAGTAACATTTAAAAAGAGATTTGAAACATTGTATATATTTATAAAGAAAGCATAGGGTATGAGTGCAGAGCAAAGGGAGGAATTATGGGATAGTCTAAGAGATGTTGCTGATATGTACAAGTTACCATGGTACATTGCCCACAATTTTAATTGTATTGTGGACCCTGGTAAAAAATGGGGGGGGGGGGACAATCGTCACAGGATTCTAAAAGCTTGCCTTTCTTGGAGTGTATCATGGATTGTGAGCTATTGGATCCTGGGTATTCTGGCTACATCTTTACATGGTATAATGGTTGGAGTCCTAGCAAAAGGATATGGAAGAGATTAGACAGAATCCTTGCCAGTCATGAATGGATGAGCTTGTTTGATTCTACTAATTTCAACCATTTGATTAGAACAGGGTCTGATCATTCTCCTCTTTTCCTCATTGCCAAGACTAATCAGAGGGATCCAATTAAATATTTCAAATTTCTTGATTTATGGGCTGAAGAAGTTGATTTCAAAAGTGTGGTGGAACAAGCTTGGAATATAAAGGTCCAGGGATCTCCAATGTGGAGGTTCCACTTGAAGTTAAAGAATACTAGCAGACAGTTATCAGAGTGGTCCAAGAATACTGTTGGCAACATCTTTGACAGGATTAAGGAACTGAAAGACACGGTGGGTAAATTGGAAGATAACATCATTCTGGATAATTCTGAAAACATGGCTTTGCTAAACCAGGCTAATGCAATGCTAATCAGAGTTTACAAGAAGGAAGAGTCCTTTTGGAAGCAAAAATCAGGTGTAAAATGGTGTGTGGAGGGTGAAGTTAACTCGAAATATTTTCACTCTGTAGTCAAAGGAAGAAAAAATGAGACTAACACTAAAGAAGATTAAAAAAATGATGGTACATTGATTGAAGGTGATGATGACATTGCTAGGGAAGCTGTCTCATTTTTTTCAGAATTTATTCACGAAGAAAGGTGTTATTAGTGATATGTCTATCCTGGACTGTATCCCAAAGATCATCAATGATGCTGATAATGAGATGCTTACAACAATACCTACAATGGAGGAATTAAGGGAGGTGGTGTTTGCTATGAGCTCCCAGAGTGCAGTAAGCCCAGATGGGATGTCGGAAAAATTCTATCAATCATATTGGGACATCATAAAGGAGGGCTTACTACTAATGACTCTTGATTTTTTTTTTTGCAGGTAATCAGATTCCAAAAGCATTGACTCACACATGCCTTATTTTATTACCAATGGTGGACAATCCTCAGTCTTTCACAGATCTAAGACCTATTAGTCTCAGTAATTTCTCATGCAAGATTCTATTGAACCAGAGACTAAGCCCATTGGTGCAGAAACTAGTTTCTCCTAACCAGGCAGGTTTCATTAGAGGAAGGTCTATCACAAAAAACATTATGTTCACCCAAGACTTAGTCCATAATATAATTAAACCATCTCTATATGGTAATGTTGTATTAAAAGTGGACATGACTAAAGCATATGACAGGGTATCTTGGGAATTTCTTTGCCAAGTACTCAGGCGGATGGGTTTCTTATAGAAATCTACAGGTTACATGGACTCCCCAGGACTATTGTCTCTGATAGAGATGCCATTTTCACCAGCCATTTCTGGCAACATCTCTTTAAATCCTTGGGCACTAAGCTCAACATGAGCACTGCTTACCACCCTCAATCTGATGTACAGATAGAGAGACTCAATAGGTGTAACGACCCAAAATCCTAACTTGTCGTGATGGCGCCTATCTCAATACTAGGTAAGCCGACAACACCAATAACCCACAATTTCTTTTAAATACTGAAAACATAATAATTAAGTTTAAGACTAAATCCCACAAACAATGAAAATAAAGACACTCCCAAAACCTGGTGTCACTGAGTACATGAGCATCTATACATTACAAGTTTGGAAAACGTGGTCTATAATAATCTGAGACCAAATACAATAAACAAAAGGATAGGGAAGGAGAGACAAGGTCTGCGAAACATGGCAGCTAACTCTGAATCTCTGAAAAATTGACTGTGTAAAAGAATCAACACACACTGTATCCGGGATCACCTGGATCTGCACACGAAGTGCAGAGTGTAGTATAAGTACAACCAACTCAGTAAGTAATAATAATAAATAAAGAACTGAAAGTAGTGACGAGCTTCTCAGCTAAGTCCAAATACAGTACTTTCCAATATAAAAGGGTAGGCATGCCCTCAAGTTCAATATTTAAGATTTCACTGAAATGCCATATCAAGTTTGACCGAAACAGAAAAAATATTTTTTTGAAATGTCCAAATAGTGATATATGACAGTTGAAATGCAGCAAATAATGAAATCAATGCATCCTGTCAGAGTAACAGTCACTCAGTCCTTCCATTCACTCCAACCTCATAGTCCCTCATTCCTCACAGTCACTCATCACTCGACACTCGCACTCAGTAGGTACCTGCGCTCACTAGGGGTGCGTACAGACTCCGGAGGGGCTCCTTTAGCCCAAGCGCTATATCAAGCCAATCATGGCATAAATCAATTGAAATATGATGCGGCGTGCAACCCGATCCATAAATATCCTCACAATCAGGCCCTCGGCCTCACTCAGTCATCAACTTCTCCAGTCTCTCGGGCTCTCAGAAATCATGATAAGCAGCCCAACAATAATTATATGATGCATTAATAATGAATACGAGAGACTGAGATTAAAATGTGCAAATAACACTGTGACTGAGTGCAAAACAGTAATTTAGCAAATAATTTCACAAGTACACGACCTATGTGGGTCCTAACAGTGTAAACATATGATTTAAACATGATTCATAAATCAATTTCCCTAATACGGGGAAAAATATACGGATATCAACAGATTTTTCAACTACACATTTCCATGGAATTGACCAAGTCATAATTCCTACGGTGCACGCCCACATGCCCGTCACCTAGCATGTGCGTCACCTCAAAACCAATCACATAATATATATTTTGGGGTTTCATACCCTCATAACCAAATTTAGAACTGTTACTTACCTCAAGCCATGTAATTCTTTATTCTGCAATGTCTTTTCCTCGTGAATTGGCCTCCAAACTCCTCGAATCTAGCCACAAATAATTCGATTCAGTCAATAAAATTTATTGGAATTAATTACATAAGAAAATACTAATTTCCAACAAAATCTGAAATTTAGCTCAAAAATTGCCTGTGGGACCCACATCTTGGAACCCGACAAAAGTTACAAAATTCGAAAGCTCATTCAACCACGAGTCTAATCATACCAATTTTACCAAAATCTGACCTCAACTCGACCCTCAAATTTTCAATTTAAACCAAGAAGATTTTCTAAATCTTCCAACTTAATTCACTAATTAAATGCCAAAAATAAGTATGGATTCGGGTAATTTAACCAATATTGAGTTAGGAACATTTACCCCGTTGTTTTTCTTGAAAATCTCCCGAAAATTCTTTCTCTCCGAGCTCCAAATCGCTAAAAATGGAAAATGGGATGAAATCCCATTTTTAGAACTTAAACTCTTTGCCCAGTCATTTGCTCTACGCAATCGCGGACAACCACACGCGATCGTGAAGCACAAATTTCCACTGCCCAGCTTTAACCCTTCACGATCACGGACTTTTTCACGTGATCGCAAAGCTCACTCTCACAGTCCTACGCGATCGCGAAGCACAAAACATGTGACCTCTACTTCTACTCCACTTACTCTACGCGAACGTGACCTTCTTCACGCGTTCGCGAATAACAAACTCGCACAGTGATGCGATCGCGGCCCTCTTCACGCGATCACGAAGAATAAAATCATCACTACCTCAAACAAGCCTACGGATCGCGGACATTCTCATGTGATCGCGTAGAAGGATACCGGTGACAGAAAACCAACATTCTTCAGCTGGAATGCCAAGTCCAAAATTGATCCGTTAACCATCCGAAACTCACCCGAGGCCCCCGGGACCTCAACCAAACATACCGTCAAGTCCCATAACATCATACGAACTTAGTTAAACCCTCAAATTACCTAAACAACGCTAAAACCATGAACCATATCCCAATTCAAGCCTAATTAACTTTGAAATTTTAAATTTCTACAAACAACGCCGAAACCTATCAAATCACGTCCGATTGACCTCAAATTTTGCACACAAGTCATAAATGACATAACAGAGGTATTCCAATTTTCAAAATCGAATTTCAGCCCCGATATCAAAAAGTCACCCCCGGTCAAACTTTTCAAAAATTCGATTTTCGCCATTTCAAGCCTAATTCCACTACGGACCTCCAAATAATTTTTCGGATACGCTCCTAAGTCCAAAATTACCATACAGAGCTAGTGGAATCATCAAAATTAAATTCTAAGGTCGTTTACATATAAATCAATATCCAGTTAACTTTTCCAACTTAAGTTTTTCAATTAAGAGACTAAGTGTCTCATTTCACTCCGAAATCCTTCCGGACCCGAACCAACTAGCTCGGTAAGTCATAAAATGACTGTAAAGCATAAATTGAGCAGTAAATGGGGGAACGGGGTTATAAATCTCAAAATGACCGGTCGGGTCGTTATAATAGGTGTATGGAAACCTATTTGAGAGTTATGGTTTTCAACAATCCTAAATAGTGGGGAAAGTGGTTACACTTAGCTGAGTGGTGGTACAACACCAACTATCACAGCTCTCTCAAGACTACACCTTCTCAGGCACTGTATGGTTATGCTCCTCCACAACTACCACTGGGGTCTTTACCACAGACTGGTCAATATTCAGCAAGGGAGTGTTAGTTCAGAGACAACAGAAGCTGCAATCTCTAAAAGACAACTTAACACAGGCTCAATCTAGGATGAAGTTCTATGCTGACAAACTAAGATCTGAACGGGAATTGGTAGTTAAGGATCTAGTCTAACTTAAGCTACAACCATATCGACAGTCTTCCATCGATGTCAGACGAAATGTCAAGCTATGTGCTCGTTACTATAAACCTTACAAGGTCATGTAAAGGATCAGAACAATGGCTTATCGGCTAGAGCTTCCTGAAAGATCTCAGTTGCACCCTATTTTTCACATCTCCCAGCTAAAGAAACGCGTTGGTCCATCCATTACTCTATAACTGCAACCACCAATTTGTGACGGCGAAGGACGAATCTTGATTCAACCTGTCGCTATCTTACAACGACGAATGGTGAATATAGATAATGGTATAGGGGTGAAGGTTCTGGTTCAATGGGAAAATCTAGGGGAGGAGGATGCTACCTGGGAGGATTGGAGATATATTAAAGCCAATTTCCTGATTTTGTTGCTCAACAAAGACCTTGAGGACAAGATCGTTCTTGGAGAGGTAGGGATTGTAATGACTGAGGTTGAATGAATTAGGAAAGTAATGGGGATATATTTCTATATTGGGGGTCTTATATCAGGACATATGGATGGTGGGGATAATTGTACATAACGGGGAGGCTATATCTCATTTGGTTCATTTGGGTTTTAGTATTAGTGATATTGGGCCAACGGAGACATATTAGAGAAGGGCCTTAGGCCCAATTACATTTCAGCCCATGAGCAGCTTAGTGAAGAGCTTATTAATACGCAGAAGTTAGAGTGAAGCAGCAGGCAATTTCTGGTAATTTCAGTTACAACTCCCTAACTGATTTCTCTCTCTCTATCTAACTCTCTCTTCGTTTGTCACCTCTAACCTCCTTCTCTTCTCTTCTTCTTTCAGGTAACTCATGGAGTAATGTAGATGTAAGGCCCCGTGAAAAGTTTTCCTAAAAGTCGCGGTTCTGTGATGTCGGGGCAGGCGTAGAGGTTAATAATAGTAGAAATTGTTCGGACTTTTTGGATTGAACAATGCGCTGGGGAGTTGAAGAAAATATTGGGCAGAAGTAGGCATTTCTACGACCTATTCGGTGACCGCAGAACCAATCTGCAGACCGCAGAATGGTCACAGAGTGAATCGGTTTTCTGGGTCATTTTGATATCAATTTCGCGGCCATTATGCGACCACATAACCACTTCGCGGGCCACACTCTTGTCGCATACCGAGCTTTGGGATTTCTCAGAGGGAGGTTCTGCGGTACACTATGCGATCGCAAAACAGTTTTGCGGTGCAGTATGCGACCGCAGAACAGGTCTGCGGGCCGCATAGTGACCGCAGACCCGGTCAGATCCCTTCCAGTTTTTGGCACCCAGATTATGCGGCCGATATGCAGACTGCATAATCAGTCT